CCCCCAAACCCCCCCCCAAATCCCTCCCAGACCACCCAAACCCCTCCCCCGACCGCCCAAATCCCACCCAGAGCCCCCAAATCCCAACAGCGACTCCCCCCCACCCTCTTCCTGTGCCGGTCCGGGGGGGGTCACAGACCCTCAAACCCACCCCAAACCCCCCCTAAACCCCCCCAAAATCCCCTAAAGACCCCCCTAAACCACCCCAGCCCACCCAAAGACCCCTCCCCACATCCCCCTTCTTCCGCACGGCTGGGAGGAAAAGGGAGGAGTCGGGGGGAGGTTCAGAGACCCCCAAAACCTCCCCCAAACCCCCCCCAAAATCCCCCCAAAGCCCCCCAGGGGTCGGAGCCCCCCGAGGAGGGTCCGGGGGGGGGGGGGGGGGGACCCCCCCCCGCCAGCCGGGGCTGGATTAACGCTAAGAGGATTTGGGGGGGGGGTCCTTGGGGGGGTCCTGGGGCAGATTGGGGGGATTTCCTGGGGGGTTTGGGGCAATCCAGGGGGTTTGGGAAGGGAAATTCGGGGAGTTCCCCCCGTTTTTCCACTGGACGCCCCCATTTTCGGGCGTTTCCCCCCATTTTCGGGGGGTCTTCATCCATTTTTTGGGGGGTTTCCCCCGATTTTTTAGGGATCACTCCCACGTTTTGGGGTTCCCCCATCCCCATTTTTGGGGTCTCCCCATATTTTTTGGTTGTTTCCCCCCTCTTTTCTGGACTTTTCCACCTATTTCGGAATTTTTTCCCCCCCGTTTTTTGTGGGTTTTCCCCACGTTTTTCTGCCGCCCCCTCCCCATTTTTGGGCGCATTTCCTCATTTTTGGGGTCCAACTCCCCAAGTTTTGGGTTCCCCATCCCCATTTTTGGGATTCTCACATATTCCCGATGTGATTCCCATCATTTTTTGGGGTCGTTTCCCTCATTTTTGGGGCTGTTTCCCTGATTTTCTCCACTTTTCCATCGCTTGCTTTATTTCCCTCACTTATTTATCCTCCCCAAAAACATTCCAGGGGTCCCTATTCCCATTTTTTTTCGGATCCTCCACATTTTTGGCGAGTTTCTCCCCGCTTTTCTCAGGTTCCGCTCCCGTTTTTTATCCATTCCCATCATTTTTTGGGCGGTTTCTTCCCTTTTTCTTGGTTTTTCCCCCGATTTTTTGCACTTTCCCCTCTCCGTTTTTTCCACCCTTCCTCTAATTTTCGCATTTTTATCCCGCTTTTTGTATTTTCTCCATATTTCTTGCACTTTCCCCCTCAACTTTTTGCCTTCCTTTCCAATATTTGAACTTTCCCCCGACTTTTTGTGCATCTCCCCCGATTTTTTTTCACTTTTTCCTCAACTATTTTTCTTTTTCTCCCATTTTTCACGCTTTGCCCAGAATTTTTCTGCATTTCCCACAAATATTTCCATTTCCCACCCATTTTTATCCACTCCCCCCTCAATTTTTACGCATTTCCACCCAATTTTAGGACTTTCCCCTCACTTTTTACTCTTTTCCCCCCCATCCTTTCCACTTCCCCCACGATATTTGTATTTTTCTCCTCACTTTTTGTGCGTTTCACGCCGCTTTTTGCGCTTTCCCCTCAATTTTTTAACCCTTCCACCTCTTTTCGTGCATTTCCCCTCAATTTTTTGACCCTTCCACCTCTTTTCGTGCATTTCCCCTCAATTTTTTGACCCTTCCACCTCTTTTCGTGCATTTCCCCTCAATTTTTTGGCCCTTCCACCTCTTTTCGTGCATTTCCCCTCAATTTTTTCCACTTCTCCCCCCCGTTTTTTAGCATTTTTTTCCCCGTTTTCACTTTTTTTTCCCCCCATTTTTTTTTTTTTTCTCATCTTTCCCCACCTCGATTTTTTTTCCCCCATTTTTGGGGTCTCTCCCCCCCCTCGCCTTTCCCGCACCTGCCAGAGCTTTGATGCGGGAGCGCTCGAAGCGCCGGGCGGAGCCTTCCTCCTCCTCTTCCTCCTCCTCCTCCTCCTCCTCCTCGGGCCCCCCCGCGCCCCCCTCCCCCTCCCAGCGGGGGTCGCTGAACCTCGGCAGCTCCAGGGGGTCGTAGGGGGGAGGGGACAGCATGGTGACCTTTGGGGACCCCCAAATTTGGGGAGGGGGCGACGCTGGGAGGGTTCAGGGAGCAGCTGGAAAAAAAAAAAAAAAGGGGGGGGGAGGGGGAGGGGGGGGGGGTTTTCGCCCCCCCCCCCCCCCCCCCGCCTCAAAGTGACCCTCGGGATCCTTAAATTAGCGGAGACCCCTCCCCAAATTAAGGACCCCTCCTCGAATTAATAAAAATATTCTTTGGATTGAGAGGTTTTTCCTAAATTAATGAACCCCCCCCTAAATTAATGGAACCACCCCAAATTAATAACGAACCCCCCGAATTAAAAGAGACCCCTCCCCAAATTAAGGGGGACCCCCTCCCCAAATTAATAAATCCGCCACAAATTAATAAAGATTCCTCCAATTAACAGGAACTTCCCCAAATTAATTGGGACCCCCCCAAACCCTTCCCCAAACTTCACCTTCAGCAGACCCCCCCCCATATTAAATCGAAACCCCCCCAAGCGGGAGAGGGACCCTCCCCAAATCCTTCCCGGGGACCCCCCAAAGTCCCCCCGTCCTCTTTTTGAACCCCCCCAGACCCTTCGGATCCCCCCGGGACCCCCCAAAACTCCTCCAAGTGCCCCCCCCTCCTCCTTAGACCCCCTCCCCAAAACTGTCAGGGACCCCGAACCCCCCCAGGACCCCCCAGGACATTCCCAAACTCAACCGAAGCCCCCCAACCTCTCCAGAGACCCCCATGAGCCCCCCCAAATCCTCTCTGACGACCCCCGAGCCTCCCCAAATCCTCACCGGGACCCTCAAAACTACTCCAAGCCCCCCCCAAAAAACTCTCCGGGTCACCCTGAGCGCCCCTAAATCCTCTCAAACAAACCCCGAGCGCCCCAAATTCCTGCCTGGAACCCCCAAAACTCCTCCGAGACCCCCCCCGGCTCCCCAGAGCCCCCCCAGAGCCCCCCGCTCTCCCCCCACTCCCCCCCCCGTTAATGCTCTTAACGGGGATCAGCGGCCGCAGCGCCGGGGGGGATCGGGGGGGGGTTTGGGAACACAAACACGCGAATTTTGGGGTGGGGGCTCCCCAAATTCTCCCGGGACAGCGCGGGGGGGGCTCTGCCCGGGGATGCGGAGCCGCTGCCGCAGTGCCCGGGGGGGGACGCGGGGGGATCTGCCGGGCCGGGGGGGTTTGCGGGACCCCGGGGGGTGGTTCTGAGGGTGGGTTTGGGGTGTTTTGGGGGGGGGTCTCCCCCCGTCTGAGCCCCCCCAGGTGTGACCCCCCCCCCGCCCTTACCTGCGCTGCGGCCGCGGCGCGCGCTGAGACCGCGGCAGCTCATCACACCCCGGGGGGCGGGGCCTGAGGCCACGCCCCTCCGCCGTCACCACGGCAACGCCCCAGGCCACGCCCCCTCGGCTCGCTGCCATAGCTACCCGCGCGGAGGCCACGCCCCCCTCAGAGGGGGTTTTCCCGCCTCTCGCGTTTCCCGCCCGCCAGGGGGCGCTGAGGGGAGAGCGGGGCAAAGATGGCGGAGGAGGCCGTGAGGGGGGTGAGGGGGTTTTGGGGCTGTTTTGAGGGGTTTTGTGGGGTCAGGGATCACTAGAGATGGTTGTGGGAGCTTTAGGGGTCCCTGGGGGTGGTTGTGGGAATTCTGAGGGATCACTAAGGAGGGTTGTGGGGCTTGGCGGGTATTGGGGGGGGTTCTCTGGGGGTCACTGTGAGGGGTCAGTGGTCACTAAAGTGGGTTGGGGGCCCCTAGGGGGTCTTTGGGGGGTGTCTATGAGGGGACAAAAGTCATGAGGGAAGTTTTGAGGCGATTTGGGGGTACTCGGGTGGTGTTGGGGGTCTCCAGAGAGGTTTGGGGAGGCTTTGGGGGTCTCTGGGTGAGTCAGGCCTCACTTAGAAGGAAGGGGGCGGGGGTCTTGGGGAAGCGGCTCCGGGTGATTTTTGGGGGTTTTGGGGGGCGGTCTTTGGAGTCTCCTCAGCCCTTCTGGCCCTGCAGATCCTGGAGCAGCTCCTGGTGGCCCTGGGGACCCCCAAAAATGGGGAGCCCCGACGGGGAGCTCTGCTGGTGGCCCTGACAGCGGGGAAGGGCCCGGGGGGCCCCCCCTGCATCTTCACAGGTGGGTGGGGGGTCCTGGGGGTTCTTGGGGGCTCCCCTCAGACCCCCCTGACCCTCCCTCCTTTTCCCAGTGGCCGCCACGGGACCCCTCGGCCGTGACCTCGACCCTGAAGTGCTGGAGGGGGGTAAGAGACCCCCTCAAACCCCCAGAGACCCCCCCAAAACCTCTCTGGGACCCCCTGACCCTCCCAGGGACACTCCCAACCTCTCCGACTCCTTTAAGAGCCCCCCAAGCCCCCAAAAATCTCTCTGGGGACCCCCTAAATCGCCTCAATCTCCCCCCAAACCCCTTAAATCCCCTCCAAAATCCTTCCCAGCTCCCCGAGGGGTGCAGGAGCTGCCGGGAGCCCCCCCAAATCCACCCCCCTGCTGCAGGCAGATCCTGGCTCGGGCTCAGGTGCAGAGGAGCTTCCAGGTGAGTTTTGGGGGGGTCGGGGGGGGGGATTTTGGGGTCCCCCCTCTCTCTGAGCTCTTTCCCAGCCCTCCAGAGTCACCTTAGGGGGGGAAATTGGGGTCGGGGGGGCCACGGGACCCCCCCTGGGAGCGAGAATTGGGGCGGGAGGATAAAAATAGTCGGGGTGGCCTGGATTTGGGGGGAAATAATGGGGTCACCGATGGGGGGAGGGGAAATGGGGTCACCGGGGGGGGCTGGGACCCCCCAAAACAGACGGGGGGAGTGGGGGGATGGGGTGGGAACCCCCCCAGACTGGGCTCAGGTCCTTGGGGGGGTATTGGGGTCCCCTCAACCCCTCCAGATCTGCCACCCCGGGGGCCGTGGGGGATTTTGGGGTCCCCTTCAGCCCCTCCGTGCCCCCCCCCAGATCTGCCAGCCCCTCCCGTGGAGCCCCACCCGGGGGTCCCTGTGGCGGCTCCTGCACCGGACCAGCCTCGTGCACCCTGAGGTACCGGGGGGGTTTGGGGGTCCCGGGGGGCTCCCCAAAACGGTGGTGGGGGGTTCCCCAGTGATCCCCTCCGGACCCCCCCAGGTCGAGTTTCATTTCTGTGTCAGCATCGATGGGAAGGTCACGTCCCGAACCCTCAGGTGAGACCCCCAAATTTGGCACACCCCCACTTTGGGGTCACCCAAACTGGGGTCACCCCAGTCCTGGGAACCCCCTAATTGGGGTCCCCCTCCCCCGATGTCCCCCAGCCCCGAGCCCCCCTGGGCACAGGCGGGAACCAGGCTGAGGGTGCAGAGCCGGCACTTCACTGGGTACGGACTGGGAGGGACTGGGAGGGACTGGGATGGGCTGAGGGGACTAAAATGGGACTGGGGGCGACTGGGATGGGTTGGACTGGTTTGAGGGGACTAGAACGGGACTGGGATGGGGTTGAGGGAGACTGGAGTGGATTGGGATGGACTGGGTGGGACTGGGATGGACTGGGGGGGACTGGGATGGACTGGGTTTTGGGGGGCTCCATTTGGGATGGATTGAGGAGACTCAGACGGGACTGGGAGGGACTGGGGGGGGACTGGGATGGGTTTGAGATGGGGCTGGGATGGCTTGGGATGGACTGAGGGAGACTGGGATGGGACTGGAGTGGATTGGGATGGATTGAGGGGACTCAGACGGGACTGGGATGCACTGGGATGTGAACTGGGAGGAGCCGGGAGGGACTGGGATGCAGCGAGGTGGTTTTGGAATAGACTGGGATGAACTGGGATGGGTGGGAATGGAGAGGGATAAACTGGGACGAGGCAGGCGAGCAGTGCAGGGTCAGACTGGGATGAACTGGTCCGGACTGGTCCGTTCCTCTCAGGCCGCCCTGCAGCCGCCTCCGCCCGTGCCCGGGGCCGCCGCTGCCGCTGCCGGTACCGGCCCCGCTGGCGGCCGCGGGCTTCGGGGGAGACCTGCAGCTGCTCCCGGTCAGCGCCCTCAGCCCCGCCGGGACCCCCGGGACCCCCGGGACCCCCGGGCCGGGACCCCCGCTCCGCCGAGTGCAAATATCCGGGGCTGGGGGCACCTGGGGGGGATTGGGGTGTCCAAGGGGGGGATTTGGAGTGTCCAAGGGGGGGATTTGGGGCGGTGTTGGGGACTTTGGGGAGGGGGATTTGGAGTCCTGAGGTGGGGTTTGGGGGATTCAGGGGGGGATTTAGGGTGTTCGTAGAGGTTTTGGGGCACCTGAGCAGTTTTGGGGCGCCCAGTGAATTTGGGGTGTCTGGCGGGATTTGAGGTGCCCAGGAGGGGTCTCAGAGTGCCTGAGGGGAGTTTTGGGTTGTCCAAAAGGGTCTCGGGGGGCGGGGGTGTGAAATTCGGGTTTCCTGGGGGATCTCAGGATGCCCAGGTGGGATTTGGGGCTATGGGGGTTTTGGGGGGCTCCATCCCCTGCATTGTTCTCCTTGACCTTCCCACCTTTACCTGTTCGACCCCGCGGGGGTCCCCGTGCCCCCCCCGGCCCCCCCAGCCCTGGGGGACCCCTCTCTGCTGGGGGACTGGGGGGGCTTTGGCCTGGCTGCAACCCCCCCAGACCCCAAAAACCCCCCGGACCCCCAAGGCTCCTGTGAGGATGAGGAAGGTCCGTGGAGTTCCAGGATTTTTTTGGGGGAATTTCGGGGTTTCCCCCTCTCAGAACCCCCGTGTTGTCTCCACAGAGCCGGTGGCCCCCGATGTCACCTTTGGGGTGCACTGGGACCCCCCTGAGGGGGACGGAGACCCCCAAAACCCCCCCGAGGGGGACCCCAAAACCCTCCTGGTTTTCCTCTTCCTGCGGCACCGGGACCCCTTTGGTGGGTACGATGCAGGTAAAGGGGGGACCCCGATTTTGGGGTGTCCCCAAGCTCTGGGGGTGTCCCCAAGCTCTGGGGGTGTCCCCGTGGCTCAAGAGTGTCCCCAAACTTTCGGGCTGTCCCTGAAGTTTTGGGCTGTCCCAAAGTTCTGGAAGGTCCCTCATTATTTTGGGGATGTCCCCATGGTTTGGGGTTGTCCCCCTGGTGTGTCCCCTTGTTTCAGAGGTGTCCTCAAGGTTTTGGGGGTGTCCCCACGATTTTGGGGTGCCCCCCATGCCCCCCTTCCCCAGACTCCACGCTCCAGCTCAGCCACCCAAGCTGGGCTGATCCCAAGGTTTGGGGACTGACCCCAAGATTTGGGGGTGTCCCCTTGTTTTTGGGGTTGTCCCTGTGGTTCAGGGCTGTCCCCCCTGTCTGGATGAGTCCCCTACGGTTCGAGGAGCCCCCCCAAATCCGGGGTCCCCCCCCAGGGATGCGCCGGCTGCTCCTGCCCCAGCTGGACCCCACGCTCCACCTGAGCCGCCCCGCGCTGGCCCGGGGGCTCCGGACCCTCCTGCACCCCCTCCTGGGTGGGCTGCACCGCCAGCACCAGGTGGGTGTGGGGTTTTGGGGTCCCCCCGACCCCCCCAAATCCCCCGTGACCCCCCAAATCTCCCCCTCCAGGCCCAGCAGAGCGTGGCCCGAGCCCAGGCCCTGGCGGTGGCCGCGGTGACGGCCGTGGTGGCCGCCAGCTCCAGCTCCCGCTTCCGCAGCGCCTGCTTGGGCGCCCTGCAGGTTTGGGGGTTCTGGGGAGGGGGGGTGTCCCCCAGGTCCGAGGAGGGGTTTGGGGGTGTCCCCGGTGTCACCGTGTCCCCCCCAGGTGCAGGACACGCCGGCGCTGGCGGTGGCCGCACGCCGCAGGTGGGCCGAGGTCTCGCGCCGGCCACGGCTGCCCCGCGGGGGTGAGGGGGAAACGGGGCTGGGGGGGGGTCCCCAAAAACCCCCCGGGAACTGAACCCCCCTCCCCGTGCCCCCACAGGGACCCCCCAAAAGCAGCGCCGGGGGCGGAGGGAGGAGCAGCAGCAGCAGCAGCAGGAGGAGGAGGAGGAGGAGGAAGGGCCCCGAAGCAACCAGGGCCAGGTGGGGTTTGGGGGTCCCTCCCCTCTCAGGGACCCCCCGGGATCCCCCCAGTAACCCCCGGGACCCCCCAACTGCAGGACCCCGACGAGTGGATGCTCTGAGGGACAGGAGAGAGCCCCCTCCCATCCCAGTGCCCTCCAGTGCTCCCAGTCCTGGCTCATCCCAGTTACACCAGTTGGTCCCAGTTCCTTCCGTGGGTTTCATTTCCTCCAGTCACTCCCAGTTACTCCTCGCGGTCCCAGTTCCCCCAGCACTCCCAGTTCACGCAGTCGCTCCCAGTTCCCCCATTGCTTCCAGTTTCCCCCAGTCAATCCCAGTTGTCCCAGTCATCCCTTGCTCATGCAGTTGCTCTCCTGTTGATCCCAGTTTCCCCTCAGTTTCCCTAACCCAGTCCATCCCAGTCCCCCCAGTTTCCCAGTCCCTCCCAGTTCCCCGCCAGTTTCCCAGTCCATCCCAGTTTCCCAGTCCATCCCAGTCCATCCCACTTTCCCAGTCCATCCCAGTCCCCCCAGTTTCCCAGTTCATCCCAGTTTCCCCCCAGTTTCCCAGTTCATCCCAGTTTCCCCCCAGTTTCCCAGTCCCCTCAGTTTCCCAGTTCCTCCCAGTCCCCCCAGTTCCCCCATCGCCCCGCCCACCCACTGACGCCGCGCCCTCATCAGCATAGCACCGCCCACCGCCCTTCCCAAGCCCCGCCCCTTTCCCCGCCCCCCGCGCAGGCCCCGCCCCCGCCATGGCGGCCCCTCAGCCCCCCG